CTTGAATAACAGTTTAAGTTCTGCTACCATCTTGTTGACGTTGAACCTGCACCAATCTTACCTCTGTTTTGTACGTGTTACAAGTATGTTTTTGTCTGTTATTGAGAGTTTGTCTTATTATCTTTTATTGCTTGCTATTATTGTGCTGGCACCTGAGTATGTTTCCTTCTATTATGCGCAAACGTTAATTATGTTTTACCGCCTAACGTGTTGCCTCTGTCTAGYTTAGTTTCTCTTTCCGTCACTCTTTAATATTAGCCTTCATGCTAACTGCATTTTACCTCTTCTCCAGTTCTTTCTCATTTTCGTTAAGCTTCTTGTCTTCCTCTACAACTCAAGAATTCACCAACAAACCTCCCCTAAAAAACGTCTTGATTGTGCCTGAAGTTTCACAACAAAATGAAAGTTTTAGCTTTTTTGACACGATGCCATTCACTTTCTGTCGGCAAAAGCAACCTGTCAAAATAAAAGCAGTAAAACATGACCGTTTAGTACAACGACTTATGGTTTAGTCCCAAGATAACACTTTGTTTTATTTGCCTTCACACATCACACAACCTGCTTTGTGACTGTTTCAYATGCGTACGATGCTCAAACGATATATCGTGCAGCTCTACTTCAAATTAAGTCTTAATTTAGTTGTCGAATCTAACTCCAACAAAACGCCACAGGAGCWCCCGTTCCCATCGCTGCCCACCTCCTTCCTCTGTGGTTGAACTGGGCCTGCTGGGTGCTGAAAAGCTGACAGKCTGGTCGTGTGGGTCAGAGGCTGGAAAGGGGAGATTTGTGTTTTGGAGAGTGTGGTTAGTCTGCAGATTGCAGTTTGTTTCTGGCTGCTCTGTGGCAGAGTGTAACCTAAGATTTAACTTGCACAACTAAAAGATTTTGGTTTCTTCTAAGTCATTCTGTTAAATCTTGAGCTGTTCTCTCTCTCTCTCTCTCTCTCCTCCCTTCCCTCACTCCGCCTGCTGTAAAAACACTCCTTGGCTGAACACTGCGCCATTTTTTCGTTCTAATTTAAAACAAAGTTCACTACAGCTAATTGCCATGATTTCACTCTACCGTCTGTGTAGACGTTTAACTTTATGTCATGGTGCGACAGCGAGCATGTGAATGTCCTGCTGTCTGTGGTGCAGCAGCAGGATTTGTGGGCATTGCCTCAGGCCCCTCTTAAAACCCTAATAGGAATAGCGGCTGGCTGATGAGGTGTACCAGCGGTCAGTGGGTCTTGGTCTTTTTTCTTTTCCTGTTTCTGGCTTCAATCACAGGCTTTTTATAGACAGCAAAAATTACGGGATSTGAACAAAAGGGATCCAGTTACTGTGGAAAAAAGTTTTTTCTGTATTTGAAAACGCTGAGGAGGTGATTCTGTCGCTACTCAAACGACTGGAGGTAGACCGGTTGATCAGTAGGGCGATTCAAGGAAAATCGTGGAGGAACTGAAAGTTGATGTTTGATTTATTTCCATTCCTCACACCAGATTGTTGACTTTTTGGTGACRTCAGAAATATTCTACCTGCTGACATTACTAATGCCGTGTCTCTTGAAACATCGAAACAAATGTTACTTAATCACCAAAGCATACATGTAAACATCTTTGTATTTCCTTTGTGCAGCTCGCTAAGAAGATTCGTGAGAAGTTCAACCGTTACCTGGAYGTGGTGAACAGGAACAAACAGGTGGTGGAGGCCTCGTACACCGCCCACCTCACCTCTCCACTCACTGCAATTCAGGACTGCTGCTCCATCCCAGCATCTATGATGGAGTGAGTCATTCTTCATTTAATCAACTCTTTTAAAAATATCAGTTATCTCTTTATTTATCTTTTAAGATTTCCTCAAGACCAGGTTTGGGCGGTGTTGATCATTTTCATACTGTGTTTTAACTTTTAGAAAATACTGCTGTATGGGATTGCTGGGCAATGGGGTGTCTTCTACAGTAGCCTAAAATGTTTAAGTCCCAGTTTTCATAGCAGCCTTGTGGAAATTTTGTTTGTCTCCTCAGGTGACTAATAGTGTCATAAGTTTTAAATACCGTCACTGTATTTTAATATTGCAGTATACCAAAATACTGTCATACAGCCCTGCAAACAACTTCCTGTAAATGGTTATAGGTTTTGTTTTGGTATACCAAATTACTGTCAAACCACACTGCAATCAACTTCCCGTAAATGGTTATAGGTTTTGTTTCGTTATACCAAAACGTGGTCATACCGCACAGTAATATACTTCCCGTAAATGGTTATAGGTTTTGCTTAGGTATACCAAATTACTGTCAAACCACACTGCAATCAACCTCCCATTACTGGTAATAGGTTTTGCTTTGGTATATCAAAGTACTGTCATAGTGCCCTGCAACTGACTTCCTGTAAATGGTTATATGGTTTTTCTTTTTGGTATACCAAAACGCTGTCATGTTGCAATGCAATCGACTTTCCGTAAATGGTTACCAGTATATGTTTTGTTTTGTTTTTTTTTTTTTTCAAATTGAAAATCCATTTCTCATTTTCAGACATGTTTTTATTATCTAATGATTAGCCGTAGCAGTTTGTAAATCACATAAATGATAACCTTTAGCGATACAGGCCAACAAAAAGTCTTGTCAACATTTATATAAAGCTGCTTCTACTTTAGGCTATTAAATTATTTTGCTTCAATGTCACAAATGTGTTTAATGGCCTTTTAAAGTGCAGGGCTATGTTAGCATGACTAATTTACTGAAATTACAAAACCTACCACATATTGCAATGTTGAATATGGCTCAGAATTGAATTCCATTAACATTGTTTTTCTTGTGTGAAATCAGTGGGACGTTGTGAGGAGAATTCAAACACTGAACATTTGTGTTCATTCTTTTAATAAAACTGGGTGTGGGCCTGAATGTCATCTTTTAAGTCCTCTGCAGAGAACGTTTAAAATTGGTCCTGGTCCTACTGTAAACCCAGCTTCTCAGCCAATCGTCGACTCCAGTTTAGCGAAAACACGGTTCAAAGCCGAGCCCAGGAAAAGAGCGCACAGCTTTGAGTTCTAATCTACAGAGCAGCAGCTGTCTCTGCCCCACATCCACTCTCTCCCCATTTCTGTCTGCTCCCCCCCATCCTTTATCAGCCGATGTAACTAGTGACTGCTCTCTGAAGTTTTTGCCATGCAGACTTCACAGGCTGCAAGGTCACCTGTCTTTCCTTCWGTCGTGCAGAAAGTGTGTGTATGTGATTGTGTCTGGCTCCAAGCCAGCAGCCACCTGTATCCACACCAGTTTCTGTACATCCAGTCATTGCTTGTTCACACAAACATGCTCTAATTTTGCCCCTAGATGTTTGTTAATAGCCATTCCTAAAAACCAAAGATTTGTAGCTTTATAAAAATGACAAGGATAGAAAGCTGTGCTGTAAGTAAAGGACGTTAAAGCAGTGGTGGTGATGGACATGCTGTACTGAAGCGGACTCTGATAGATCTCTGAATTTCAAAGTATTTTCCCCGGGGGGGGGGGGAACAGCCTCTCCTGCTCTCATTTGGGGATTGGCGCAAGCATGCTCTAATTTTGCCCCTAGATGTTTGTTAAT